AAAATCCAAAATTAAACGGTGTCGGTTCAGTGCCGGTCAGGGCCGGTACAGTCAGAACTGGTGCCGGTGCCGTTCCAGTGCCGCGGCACCGGCACCACGGCACTGAGTGCCGGTGCCAGTACCTCGGCACCGGCACCAACATTTCGATCACTAGTGGACACTTTAATCTTGGGCTGTGCGCAACTAGGAGACTGACCCTTGCCTGGTATGTTTGGAGTCACTTTAGTGTAGGAAAATATCATAATTTTAAGTTTAGGTTTCGTTTCGTTAGCAGTAATTTATTAAAAGATAATATTTAATTAGCTTGTAAAATATTGAGAATAACACAGAAAATTGCATTAAAATTAAATATAAGACTATAAATTACTGGCAACGAAACAAAACCCAAACTTAAAATTATGATATTTTCCAACACTAAAGTGACTCCAAACATACCAGGCAGGGATTAGTATTCTAATTGCGCACAGCCCAACTTTAATCAAAACTTAATAATTCTTATATAGATGATTTAATCACAATGTGACATTTCAAAGTTTTGCACTTCATTAATACAATGAAATTAATAATATAATATTAATTAACCTTATTGACAATAATAGTGCATTGGGTGCTTCACAAACCTTACTGATAACTAAGTCTACATTAATTACCTGATTTTTTGTCACATCTGATTTATCTGTATATAAATAATATTTTGTATATTTATAAGAAGCAAACTAATTCATACTCTGATAAGACCGGCACTTTTGAATTTATAATAAAAACCACAATTGATTTGGAAACTCGTTATTATCATTGTTTTAAAACAGTTTATTTTAGATTTTTATACAATTATGCGGTTTATTTATAATGGTAAAATTCTAAATATTTTTTAACTAATTAATAACATGATTAATACCTATGATTTTTATTACATATCAATTATAATAAATCAAATGTAATTATAATTTTTAAACTATTTCAAGACATTTGTCAAAAATTTATTAATAGATAACATTTTACACAAAAAACCGTTTAATTATAAATCACATAATTGAATATCAATTGATTCATGTGTTTCAATTATATGTTGCCAAAATTCTTTTTATATATACCAATTATAACACATTAATAACACCGGAATTGAATACAGCCCCGCCGTCGACCACAACATTAGCGCCGGTAATAAAGTGGGCGTCAGTGGAGGCCAGGAATGCGACCGCACGGGCGATGTCTAGGGGTTGACCCACTCTTCCCAATGGCGTGTATTTCGGCGCAAGTATTTCTATAGGACTCGGAGGGTCTCTAACATGTACTAAACCGGAGCTATTGGTATAAATGTAAATCGGTGTTAAACTAATTAATTGAGTTCAAGCATAGCTTTTATTTAAATACTCACTTAATAGTATTGACCCGAATATTTTTGGGCCCCAATTCCAGGGCTAATATTTTGCCCAACGTTTTGACCGTAGAATCGATTAAATTGTTTACATCAGAAGTTTTGGTCAAATCTCCCACAACTTCTAATGGCTGTTAAAAAGTAATTATTTAAAAC